TACTATAATATACGTATACTATGCTTAATAGTTTATGCAATGTACATGTACTGTACAATGACTTTACCGGTAATAGCTACAACTATTTTGTTGTAGATGTATTATCTAATTATCTGAGAGTGAGGTAACTACTAAGCTGCCAAATCGTAGTACATTACAACAGAAGAGCTGGCCGTAACAGCTGGCCGTAAGAACAACGCTGCTAATAAACGTTGTCACTTGATTCACAAAGATAGAAAGTTTTAGATTGAATAAAACGAGCTCACGTGTGATACTGCTGTAAGCCTAAGAATTGTTTAGACAGCAAAATCCGATACAACTTAACTGGAGGACGTGTCACCGACATAGGCGAAGGATAAAGTTTTAAATGGAGCGGATAGACAACAGCACAACATGAGAGCTGGTTAATTAGACACCATAACAAAACGTTAAATTTAGGGTAAAGTTAATAGTTAAACCATTTTGGCATCTTAATTAGCCTATCAAATAAAAAAAACGCTGCCGCAAGCGTCTTGCGACGCATTATCCTAATGTTTTAATCATAACTGACACGTTCGACTGTCCGATGACTTCTGAATCAGCACAAAATGAAGGCTGCATGCATTAAAATATTACAATTCGAAAAATTTATAGCTTTCAGTGAGTTTTGTGTGAGAAGTTAGCAATTTTTATTTACTTATGTTGAAGTAACCATCTCCGATGTGATGCTGACTATCTAGGGGAATATAATTGTGCTATATCATATAGAGATTTCTTATATAACTGGACTGGTTGGTGGAGAATAACTCCCCTCCAGGACACCAGACTATCTAAATCACCACTTCCTCTTTTACGAACTCTACCACACAAGCGTCTTCTCCTTCTACATTCAAGACTTCCTCTTCACTATGGCCGCCTAATCCTCTCTACCTTTGTCCTCATTCAGTTCTGTACTGCCCTAACAACTCTGCGCAAATCATTCCTTCAACAGGTTATCAGCCCAACGCTTCGCCAGGGTACTGACGAGCTGAAAGCGGCAAGACGATGCGCCTCCAAGCCCCAAGGCTCATGAAGGAGATCGGAGAGAAAATCGCCCGACGGACACCAACTCGCGTGAGGCCACGTTGCCAACTTGGCTCCAGCCACTGTGCTGTAGCACAGCATGCGTAGTTATTCGCCATGCTAGGAGGTCATGAAACCCCCGCGCCAGCCATGGAGCTGTAGCGCCGCACGAGACACATACATTCCGTGCCACACCGGCCATTGCCGAGTTGTGAGGCCATGATGCCAGACCAGCCATAGCGCTGTACTATTGCTGCTGGTTGCAAAGCCGTACTAGAAGGCCACAGTGCCTTGTGCTCTACGTACATGTACGCGTACGCGTACACGTACACGTACACGTACACGTACACGTACACGTACACGTACACGTACATGCATTTGATGATGTACAAGTACATGTAGTACATATTTAAGGCGAAGAACTAAATACCGCCCTCACGCACCAGCAGCATTGCTGTAGTGTCACGCCATACTGGGAGGCCAAATGCCCCACTTGCGAGCTATAAAGCTGTGCTTAAAATATTCCAGCTACAAGCTTTGTATTTACTACTAGTATATGTGTACTTAATGAGATACCATTTTAAATATGTACATCTCGAGCTACAAGGCCGAATGACACAGCTAAAACCTCGCTTAATGCAAAGCTGCAGCAGTCTACTAAATGCAGATCTACGGCTTGTTGAGAACAGGTAATCCACTACATTTTGGACCTGTAAAATAAAAATATACCTTAAAAAAACAAGAAAGAGATAAAATGAAAATGGGCAATTGTCCATACAAACATGTGTCTGGTATTTAACCAAGTTAAGAAATACGCCCAGAAATGTATGAAACTGGGAGGCAACAACGCCGAAACAATTCATTCAATTCGCCAAACTTAAAAAAATTATTGCGGCAAAAGTTTCAGACATTTCCAGCATAAAGAAAAAATCTTCAATACTTTATGACTTTAAGACAAGCCTACACAAGCCTCTGTCTACAGAAAGCAACTATGGTTTTACTGCATTAGTTTCATTTTCAATGGAATCGATAGTTTACAAACCTATTGCTTGCACTTGCGAAGTATAAACAAAATAAAAATCTTCGAAATGAGCAACAACTCCATGAGCCTCTAGGGAGAAAAATTGCCCCAACGATGAGAGCCTGCAAACAAGATGCGTACACTACCGATGACACTGTTAGATGTTTTTATGCTTTGAAAGCTGTAGCCTTTCTTTAAAAATATTTGAAAACTATAAACTCTCCACACAAAAGTAAAAGCAATCAAATAATGACAAAAAACAAATACGAAATTTCAAAGTGTGAAGAAATATCCACAAACTAAAGAGCACAAAACTGGCAGTTTAATGAACAAAAGTTTAACACAACTTTCACAAAATATCTAAATATCAACACGGTGAACAGGTGTATCCTCAAAGGTTTCCTGAGTAGCCAACAATACAGCGAACAGGTTTTGACACCTCAAAATGAAAGGTTTTCCTGAGTAGCTTTCTTCAAAACGCGTGCAACAAAAGCGCTAACAACGACATCCTACTATAATGAACAGGTTTAATCCTCTACGGTTTTCCTGAGTAGCCAAAATAACAATTAAACAAGAAATCTGTACAACCCCTGCCAAAACTGGTAACAAAACGACAAATCTGACAATAGAAGTCAAAGAAAAAAGAATGTCAATATCAAAACAAGATCTACCTCTTGTAAATGTTCATGTACGCACAGGACTGTTATTAACAGCCACCTGTGGTGCACCTGACAGATAGAGCATCATACACATTCCTCGATGTGGGAGGCTGTTGAAGTAACCATCTCCGATGTGATGCTGACTATCTAGGGGAATATAATTGTGCTATATCATATAGAGATTTCTTATATAACTGGACTGGTTGGTGGAGAATAACTCCCCTCCAGGACACCAGACTATCTAAATCACCACTTCCTCTTTTACGAACTCTACCACACAAGCGTCTTCTCCTTCTACATTCAAGACTTCCTCTTCACTATGGCCGCCTAATCCTCTCTACCTTTGTCCTCATTCAGTTCTGTACTGCCCTAACAACTCTGCGCAAATCATTCCTTCAACAACTTACAAGCTCAAATAGGCAGTACAAGAGAGTAAGAAGTGCAATCTGGATAGATCATTACTGTCCTTTGCATTGATGCGGGCTAAGTTTCACAGCGCCTCAGAACGGCCCATGATATCGAGCACGACGCCAAGCTAAATATATTCAATATCGTTTGTAGACATGCTATTTGAAGTGCAGGTGATTCTTGAGTTGGGCACATACTCGCCGTTAATGCCAGCACGACACGGCAAGCATGTGCCCGAGTCAACACGGACTGTATGATGCTCTCAACGTAAACCTATCAAACTTCATGAAAATAGCGATGACTGACGAATGTCACGCCAGTACTTATGTAGTAGCCAACAATAATAAAGAGACTGTGTCAAGATCACCAGAATATTAATTTTTAAGCATAATAAGTGTGATGCTAGGGGCTCAGCATTTTGTAGAAATAATTGCACGCGCTCAGCATTTTGTAGCGACTGGTCTAAATTAAACCCATAATTATGAAATTAATGAAGTACATAGGGGCTCATATTTTTTGAAATAATTATCCCGCCGAAGCGAAGCGGAGGCGGCAAGGCCAAAGCAAGTAGAGCTAAACTTAAACTACCGCCGCTACGCGGCGGCGCTTGGCTAGTATTTTCAATTACACTGCTCGTGATCAGTTAAAATACTGAAACAATACTCTATTATTGCTTGAGTTTCGCGGATCAATACATGAAGCGTTTTGTGAATACTTAAGATATTTTTTTATTATTATTATTTACGATATTTAATGTCGTCAGGCACAGATCCTACAGTATGATACTGTCAGTACATGTATCTGACAGCGCGTAGTAGCCTCTCCTTTTCACTATGTCGCGCCCCATAGTGAAAAGTCTATTGGAGTCAAAATCCAGCTGATCCCATTGCGGCGATGCAGTAATAGTTACAGTAGTCACAGGAAGACTGCAGGCTGCACCCTGCAGCTACCAGGTGTTTTGAACGAAGGTTGCCTCTAAAGTCAAATGTCGTGGGAAATTCCTAGCGAAGCGAACTTTGGTGGGGGTTTCTTGTCATAATAGCGCGACGGTAAAGGTCTCTGTTGTGACTCCAGTAAATGGCGCGTCGCACGTGAGCATACGAAGAACTGGTAAGTTTTGAGATACATATGCCGCATACGTAGCTTTTGCTGCTGAGATTTGTAAAGCGCAGCTATCCTTCGTTGTCATCTCGGCTGTCCGCTCGAGGTGGCGTCGTCGGTCGCAACCACAATGTGGTATCCAGGATGTAATACTCTTACTGTACCACTCAGCGGTTCTTCAGTTGTCATCTTTTAGAACCAGGCCTGGGCCAAAAATGATGAATACAGTATTACTTCTTGCGCTTTTGGCAATACATGTACTTAGCAACTAAATTGCCTAGCAAGATTCCTGCCAGGAAGCCCGTCATTCGGCGCAAGATCTGCCAGCAGACTCTTCTACTGTAGACTTTTGAATACCGGTACAGTAGAGTCGCCACTGCGCTTCAGGCTGCAGTGCAGCGCGACTGCAATCCTACCGAGATATCCTCGCCGATTTGAAAGTGCTGCAATCAGTTTTAGCTGAGCCTACATCAGCATTGCTATCGGCCATGAGGCCTTCTCTTCATCAAGCGTCTCCAACCGCACTGCCAATACAGTTTCCTTGCGCTTCCAAGGAGGCTAAAGATGAATATATTTTCGCTCCAGCCTACTCTTCCCGTCAATGCCAAAATCGCCTGGGCGCGGGTTCGTGATTGGCTCGTCGGGCGGTTATGCACGAGGAAAGACCAGACGGCAGGGAGGGAGAGACTGGGAGAGTCAGCGAGCGACTCCACGATCACCGTCAGTGCGCCCGCGTCGCCCCCCAGTACGCGAAACAGCCCAAGACGATCATGGCGGAGGACTCAGGAATGCTAGACAATGGCGCCATGGTCTGGGTGCCCCACGACGAGCAGGTGTGGAAGAAAGCTGTGGTCGTGCGTCGCCTGGACGATGGCGTCTCGGCCGAGGTGCGTCTGCAGCCCAGCGACGACGGCGAATGGGATAAGGACGACGGCCTCGAGCAAGTCGTCAACATCCGCGACATCGCGCGAATGGCTGGCGAAGTCTCGGACGAAGCCATGCCCATCTGCAACGTGTTCGAGGCCGACGGAGCCGACGACATGTGCACACTGAACCATCTCCACGAACCGGCCGTGCTCAAGAACTTGGAGCTCCGTTTCGCTAAGAAAATGCCTTACACATACACTGGCGCTATCTGTATCGCCGTGAACCCGTACCAATGGCTGGATCTGTACGGCAAGGAATTGTACCTGCAGTATCTGGAGCAGCCTCGTGACTCGCTGTCTCCTCACCCGTTCGCCCTGTCCGCCACGGCGTATATGGACATGAAGAGGACGCAAGTGGACCAGAGTATTCTGGTGAGTGGCGAGTCTGGCGCTGGTAAGACGGAGACGGTCAAGATTATGATGAACCACTTGGCCTCCATCTCTGGCGGCGGCAACCACGGTACGAAGGTCATCGACCAAGTACTCAAGTCAAACCCCCTTCTTGAGTCATTCGGTAACGCCAAGACCAAGAGAAATGACAATTCCAGTAGATTTGGTAAATTCGCCCAGCTTCAATTCGACAACATGGGTTCACTCGTGGGCTGTCTGTGTGAAACCTACTTGTTGGAGAAAAGTCGCGTGGTGGGCCAGACAGAGGGCGAGCGCAACTACCACGTGTTCCACCAGATCTTCTGTCTGCCCGAAGACCGCAAGAAGGAGCTCAAGCTCACGGGAGATGTCACCAACTACAAGTACGTGGCGGAAGGCGCAGACACCGAACTCACCGGCATCGACGACGTCCAATGTCTCAAGGAGACGCAGGACGCTCTGGACACGATCGGCATCTCCAAGGACGAACAGAACGCCATCTTTGAGATCGTCGCGGCCATTCTGAACCTCGGAGAGGTCGAGTTCGAGCAGAACGGCAGCGACAACGAGAAGAGCCACGTCAAGAACGACGACATTGCGGACAACGTCGCTGCCTTGCTGGGTACGGAGAGCGCTGCACTGCACTCGACGCTGCTGGTGCGCTCCATTACCGCTGGCTCCGAGTCGTACTCCATCCCTTTGAACGCCGAGCAGGCCTCAGACCTGCGTGATGCGCTGGCGAAGGGCATGTACACGCAGCTGTTCGACTGGCTGGTGCACCGTATCAACAAGGCGATCTGCTCCACCGACAACGTCAAGACCCACATTGGACTGCTGGATATCTTTGGCTTCGAGAGCTTCGACCAGAATGGCTTCGAGCAGCTGTGCATTAACTACGCCAACGAGAAGCTGCAGCAGAAGTTCAACAGCGACGTGTTCAAGGACGTGCAGCAAGAGTACGTGGATGAAGGGATCCCCCTCACACTCGTGACTTTTGAGGACAATCAGCCCATTTTGGACCTCATTGAGGGCCGGATGGGCATCGTGAGTATGCTAAATGAGGAAGTGCTGCGGCCTCAAGCCACGGACAACACGTTCGTGAGTAAAGTACTGGATGCCTGCAGTAGCCACCCGAGTATCGAGAAGAACAGGATCAACCCGCTCGAGTTCACGATCCACCACTACGCTGGCGACGTGACGTACAACGGTACTGGGTTCCTGGAGAAGAACAAGGATACGCTACCCACAGACATGGTGCAGTTGCTGTCGAGTAGCTCGAACGGAGTCATCTCGGGCATCTTTACGCCCACGCAGAAGAGCAAACGCAACAGTCGAGGCAAGAACGGCAAAGAGGGCCGTCAGAAAGGCTTCCTGGTGGGGAACACCATCGCCGGAGCCTTCCGTAAACAGCTGTCTGAGCTCATGGAGACCATCAACAAGACGTCGTCCCAGTACGTGCGCTGTATCAAGCCGAATGCCAACAAGAGCGCGGTGGAGTTCAACCGAGTGATGATCGTGGAGCAGCTTCGCTGTGCCGGAGTGATTGCTGCTATTCGCATTAGTCGAGCGGCGTTCCCGAACCGCCTGCCACTCGTTGAGTTCCAGCAGCGATTCCAGATCATCTGCCCGTCCGCTCTACGCGAGGCTGAGCCCTCTGAGATGGTTGCTGGTCTGCTGAAGGAGCTGATCCCAGACATGGCTACAACGATGCAGAACTCCAAGTTTGCGGTGGGTAAGACCAAGGTTTACTTCAGTTCGGGTCTGTTGCAGCGACTCGAGGACCGTCGGAACGTGATCCTCAAAGACCACGCCATTCTCATCCAGAAGACCTTGCACGGCTATGTGCATCGTAAGCGCTTCCTTCGTCAACGTGCTGCGGTGGTCAAGATGCAGACGGTCATTAGAGGTGGACTACAGGCCATGCGCTACCGGACTCTGCGTGGTGGCGTTATTAAGCTGCAGGCTCGAGAGCGTGGACGTAAGCAGCGCTACCTGTTCGCTCTGCTGCTTGCGCGTGTGAGGAAGGAACGGCAATTGGAACACGAACGACTCCGTAAGATTGCGCAAGAAGAAGAAGCGGAGCGTATTCGTCAAAAGTCGATGCAGGAGGAACGTGAACACAGCGATCCGCAGCCGGTAGGTTGCTTTATGCTTTGTATTTGTGTGATTTTATTTCGAGTTACTAAGGATTTCTTGTGACAGGAGCCTGTGGAAGATGACTGGAGTGACGAGAGCGACAAAGAAGAGGAGCTTGAGGACAACCCGACTGGTCCCGTGTCTCCACGTACGCTACGCGCTCTTACCGAAGCGGCGTCGAAGGTGGCGGAGGCCGAGTCTGCCGCTCGTGACGCGAAACACGCTGCTGAGTCTGCGTTGGAGCTGAACCGGGAGCTGGTGGCGCAGAACGACCGTCTACGCTCGACGCTGTCGTCCAACGTGGCGGAATACGCCGACGCTGAGCTTCTGCGTGAGAACGAGCGTCTCAAGCAGCAGGTGCTGCAGCTCCAGACGAAGCTCGTGCGCTCCCAGGAAGTGTCGCTCATTTCTGCCAAGGTGGTGGACAGTCGCATCACGTACCGTGAAGGCCGTCAGTTTGTCGAGTACAAGCTGCAGATCGAGACCAACACGCGCGGAACTCTGTACGTGTGGCACCGCTACAGCACGTTCCGCAACTTGGCTGCTACGCTGCAGACCAAGAACGGATACAAGCGCAAGGAGATCCCGGAGCTGCCGAACAAGCAGCTTTTTGGCAACTTCTCGGAGAAGATCATCCAGGACCGCGTGGCGAAGCTGAATCAGTTTTTGGAGGCCGCGACCAATGCCGAGTATCTCCAGTGGGGCATTCGTGTGGACCAGGACACGTGCGTGTACAAGCGTCGGGTGAAGAACGCGCGGGAGAGCATCTCGACTGCCAGCACGCACTCGTCGTCCCCGCGTTCGTCCTCTCGATTGTCGATGAAGTCGTTCAGCTTCCGTCGCGGCAGTACAGCTGGCAACTAAAAAGGTGGACTGTGTATCGATTGGACTATCAAGAGCGCGTCTATTCGCTCCGAGGTTGGCGAGGTTTCTGGCCGATGGACGACCCGAGTAGCGAGTCAAAGGAACGGAATGCGACTGCGATCGCGTATGATACTTGCTGCGTGGCAGTGAGAGACAATTCAGAGGGCTGATAAAGCTACCCCCAAGGAAAGAAAAGAGTGGAACAGCAAACAAGGCACATTAGATGGAAGTTCTGCGTAATGCATTTGTATCCCCTTAAAGCTGCGTCCTCGCATCCAGTCATGTTTGATACAAATTTCGAAAGTGCGTGCGACTCAACTCGAAGTTGGAGTCACCTACGTATCCATTGATTCGGGGGTTCATTTTCAAAAAGGGATACTTATTTTAGCATTTGAGATACGATCCAAGGGGCTTCAGTGGCAGGCCGCGACAATAACAATGAAGGATAGCTTCTAATATAAGCTTAGCCAAGACTTGTAGTAATTGGGCTACTTACAGTACATCACCTGTGTTTCTTCGTTGTTAGAGGATTGGGTCGGTTGCAGTAGTCCTTGTTGTGGATTTCGCGTGAAAACTCGGAGAGGGTCTAAACTGAGCGACAGGGATTGCCAAACCGACATCTGGAATAGCAGCATGAGTTAAAGTCGCCACCCTTGGAACTGCAGCAGCTACTGACTCGGATGTTCCCGTCCCCATAAATGTATCCGCAAGCTTCGTCCTGACACATTTTCTGCTGTTGTTGAGCACTCGTTGGCGTGAAAGTGGCGATAACGGTGGCGACCAGAATAGCGAGGCAAGTTTTGTTTATCGTTTGTTGCTGGATCGGTTCGTTCACAAGTGTTCTTGGCAAAAGCAAAAGTGATCGAGTGGTGGCCCACCACTATAATCGACTACGTGAAACATTCAAATCTAAGTACATGTATACCAGGCTAAGTCAACCACGGAAACGTGATACATCATTTTGTCAACCAGGGAAACGTGAATGCTACACTACGCATCTTGAAAATAATGATCTTCCTGTCTATTGCTATGTCGGTTCTCAATTCTCAACTACCAGTAATTCGTTCTTGGGTGGTGGTGACATCTTGCTCTTTATTTCCTTTCATCTTCATTGTTAAGGGCTGTAAAGTATTGGTAAACGAAAAGTGGTATAACGTTACCTGTGGTATCATTAGGGGTTCTCAATTGTGCAGCAAGTAAGATTTTTTTTTCGTGCAGCAAGTAGAATTTTTTTCCGGTCATCTGATTGGCCAAGCACATTTTTCCCGTTCTGCATCAAAATCGATGCAGGACGGCTTGCAGCAAGAAGATTTTTTTTTGCTGGCACCGGCCGAAGATCGTACCCCATCCGAAAAAAACGCGACGTGTGTCCTACTGTGCTCTGGTGAGCATGACTGCTCCTAAACAGCAGTCCGCGACACCGGCAAGCCCGGTGGAAGAGGTGATCACCACGGACGAAAGCCAGTCACTAGTGCGTTGATGGCGTACGACGACTTCCTGCTGTAGTAATCCTCGCCATTGTGCCGCGGTTTCGTTGCTAGAGGCAGCAGGGTGCCATCAGTGATACCAACGCAATTTACAAAGCCGTAGTTAGCTTTCATCCGATTAGCGATTTCGCGACACTCGACCGCATTCGGCCACGTAATCGTCGACTCCTCAAGTTTCAAAATTGAACTGACAGCTCTGTCGAGATAGTTGTAGAACCCACCTTCCGCAAACCCCAGAAATTTACCAATATCAAGGGCAGTATTGGCATTCCCATATGCTCCTAGGAACTTAATCAAAACCATTAAGTGGAGACACGCTCCGCCTTTAAATGGCTTTCCGCCCTTTGTCTTAATGACGGGGTCATCCTTCACAAGTGCTACAAGACGGAAAACTCGGGGCGTTGGAGACGAAAGTGCTTGAGAAACTCACTGTCGCTGGTATGTTGGTGGTTGTGTAGAATCTTTGGCCATTTCGTTTTGCGACGCCGATAATGAGAAGCCCGGGCACCGTATCTGGCTGCTTGTGCACGCAGGTATTCAATTTCCCAGTACTCGTCCACCTCGTCCTCTCCCGAGTCCTCGTCGCTAAGTATCTCCCTGTTGATAGCAGCGGCTTCCCGCTGGGCGATAATTTCTCGTAGCTCTCGCAGCTTACGCTGCTTAGCTGACAACTTTGGCATGCTGGATCTGCTTCTGCGAAGATCTTGGAGTCGGCGCCAAGTAAAAGTCTACTTGCTGCAGCACTGACAAAAACCTGCAACGGGGCCCTCAATTACGAAGTGTTTGATTGGCTGAAAAGGTGTTGCATGAAACGCCGGCCAACCAAAAAAAAATCTACTTGCTGCACAATTGATAACCCCTATTATCCCGTCGCTTTGAGCTGTCATTTTTTTATTGTTTGGTTACCCGTTCGCCACACTAGGTTTTACTACTTTTAATCCACGCATCTTGTAGTGTTGTCACTACAAGATGCGTGGATTAAAAGTATACGCCACCTTAATCAACTTTGTGAAGCACACAGAAATTGTAGCAATTTAGTGCCCACCCAGATTTCCTCCACCTTCAACGCTCCACACATCGTGTATTATTAATAATAGTGACAACATGTACCTAGTGCGGCGACGATGGGTTTAACCAAATACAAAACAGTAATCCAAAACGACGTGATAGCAGATCACTGGTGTGCGTGCAACGCAGGGAATAAACATTATAAGCGAAAATACTTTGAAAGAGTGATCACACATACAGTGCTGGCCAAAAATATGTGGCCATCACTATTTCTCAAATATTTGCGTCAATTATCTGCGAATTGCCGTAAAACCGCGTAGAAAGGCTATTTAGACAAAACGCTACCGAGGCGTACCATTTTTTCTCCCAGACGATTCCTCGTTGCGGAGTTCCAGAAGTGACCATCACTCTGACCCTGGACAAAAGTACGTAGCAGCGTGAACTTAACGCGCTTTGGGGGATTGTATTAGCGGAGAGTAGCTATTTAGTGCTTTGTTTTCTTACCTTTGTCTTCGATGACATCTCCAACGCGATCAGGCATTGATTTTACTAAATTTTGAAGCCGTGACATGTCCAAGTTCTCCCATGCCTTCAGGATGGTATCTTTGAGCTCATTCAACGTCATGTACTGCTTGCCACCACTGTAAACGTCTCGCGCAAGGTAGCCCCAGACGTTCTCTATTGAATTGAGGTCCGGGAAATGCGCCGGCCAGTCCATTACCTCAATTTTTGGAGCTCTCAAGGAAAGCTATCGTGCTTTTGGATGCGTGTAGGCTTGCATTGTCGTGCTGAAAGATGTAGCCCCGTCATGGAGCGCTTCTCCAAATGGAATCAAGTAGTTAGCTAGCGTTTCCTGGTAGTGGAATGAGTTTTGGCGGCCTATAAGGAAAGCCAAATCGGTTTTTCCTCGAGAGGACCCCCCCCCCCCAGATCATGACAGAGCCCCCACCGTTTTGACGACTGAAGTAGGTCTCCTTCTCGCAGCGTAGGTCATGCCAATAGTACTGTAGGCCGTCTGGACCATCGAGATTGAACTTCTTCTCATCAGAGAATACAACACGGTCCCAATCAGTCCGTAGTTTAATCATACTCCTAGCCCAGTTTCGTCGGGCCAACTTATATGTACAAGTGACGTATAACGTTAATATGTATTAATATCACTTTTTCAAATTATCGCTTACTTCGAGACTCGACACAATGCCTCATATACGGCGATTAAGATACACATGTACTGCGTTTGCACTTTATTTGGAGCCATTTTTAACTCAAAAAGTTTTTGTTGAGTTTATCATTTCGTTTTGAAGTGCGAGAGTGGCTACGTATACAGTAATTAAAAAGTGCAATAGAGTGGTATATATGTATCCATTCATAATCCCAAGAGCACTTATCTTTAACCAAAGACGATCACTCTGGATAACGCAAATTTGTGGTAAAAAATCTTCCCCTACAATTTCAGAAATCAGCAGGCTGCTAACCGCTTTCGGAGCTCCAGCCAAGAGAATGTCGCGGCGACCATCCAGCGTCTCAAGCCTGTCCGATGAGAATGAGGGTATGAGGGGGTGTCGTGTGTGGGTGCTAAGTAGCCCCAGTAGTTCCAGTAGTCCCACCAGCTCAAGCATCGACAGCGATGAAGACACGGATAGCCCAGAACATACACGTAAGAAGAAAAGGAAAAGGGGGTTGCGCAGGAAACGATGGACAGGGGGTCGGCACTCCCGTAAAAAGCGACAGAAGAAAAGATTAAGTAGACGGACGCCTCGCTCAAGCTTCGACGATCAGAGGTCTCCGCCAACTTTCAATAGCAGTGGTCACTCTGGCAACGCGGAAATCAACCCAGGTGGCATTAGCAGCATCGATGCTGATCACGCGGATAGCGGGAATGATGGCTGCGATATCGTCGCTCTCGATGAGCCCGTGCACGCACCAGAGCTCGACCGGAAGGTGCTCGAGAGTTGGGACGTTCTGGAGGGGTATCTGAAGACGTATAACTGGCGGACGTATCAGGTATGTGGGCTAAGCCTGAACTGTGCGACAGTCTGAGATTGTGCATGAAACTGAAATGGTTGTGTCGAGCTGGACTGTGTGAACGATCGCGCTTGATTGCTTGTGCTACTCAGATTTATTTCGTCCGAACAAATACACCTGCTCACAAGCGCAGCGAACGAACCAAGAAAAACATGTCTGCATGCTCGGAAATTCCTGAAGAAGTGCAATTCAATAACAAAACTTACGTTTGCACCCACCACGGTAACCCCCGCCAGAGTCGAGGACAAGGTAAGCGTTCCCACCAATTATCGAGGAAAATTGGCTGCAAAGCATAGGTACTTTGATCAATTAACAACTTTTAAAATACGATACTTATCGTTTGCAACTTCTTTGTTTATTTTAATCTAGATAAATGCTTGTGTTCAAGAAACCGGCGATTGGGAGGCTCGTATAACGAAGCAGATAACTGGATACAACCACGTCGTCAGTCGAGAAGCCTTCCAAACCTACCATGAAGCTAGACAAGTTTCTGATGAAGACGTTTTGGCGACCGTTCAAACTCTCCATCGAGCTGGAGCCAAAAGGAAAAGGATACTTCAATACATAATGGAGAACACGACAGTGGTGCCTCAAATGAAGGATGTACACAATCGCGTCGCTCGGCTCCAAAGAAAAAGTTATGTATATCCTGAGATCGA